TTTCCTCTATCAGGAATGCCTTTCTGGATATAGTCAACCCCATCCAAGCTACACTTCCCCTACTTCGCAAAGGTCTCCTTGACTTCACACTTTCATCAATCCCTGACCACACTAAACTCCTTATGTCTTACTTATCCATATGCCTTTGCCTGACACAGAATAGACCCCTAGTAAATATTTGAATTAGTGGGGACTTGAACGTGCTGTGGTTTATTAATTATAAAAATGTGACTCACCCCAATCATGAGAGCAGGGCCATAATGAATCCATCTTGGTTTTCCCCACTGTGCCTGGCTCAGAGCAGATGTTCCAACTGGAACACACCCTCCATCCAGCCCCACCTTCCCGGGCTTTCCTGGGGCAGATCCGTTTTGCAGATCACAGTACTTGACAGGATTTGGCAGGTTTCTGGCCTGGGTCGTTCCTTGTAGAGCTATGAGAGGTACATGTGGAAAGAGCCTCATGTGAGATCATGCAGCAAGTTAGCAGCAGCGCAGATAACAGACCCAGAGCTTCAGCTTCCCAACCCAAGGACATTCATTCAGCGACTGTGCTCCAAGGTCATGCTGGCTTCCTTTCAGGCCCAGGGCTAGGATGGCTAAGATTGTCCCAAAAGATGACCCCAGGATTAAGTGGGCTGTTACAGTATGTTAAAGCTACTTTTCTTCCTTTTTTTTTTTTTTTTGAGATGGAGTCTTGCTCTGTCACCCAGGCTGGAGTACAGTGGCGCGATCTCGGTTCACTGCAACCTCCACCTTCCAGGTTCAAACAATTCTCCTGCCTCAGCCTCCCAAGTAGCTGCTATTACAGGCATGAGCCACCACACTCAGTTAATTTATTTGTATTTTTAGTAGATACGGGGTTTTACCACTTTGGTTAGGCTGATCTCCAACTCCTGACCTCAAGTGATCCACCTGCCTCGGCCTCCTAAAGCGCTGGGATTATGGGTGTGAGCCTCCATGCCTGGCTTGTTCTTTTTTTTTTTTTCATTATTATTATTTTTTTAGAGTCTCGCTGTGTCACCTAGGCTGATCATAGCTCACTGCAGCTAGCTTCAAACCCCTGGGCTCAAACAATCCTCTGCCTCAGCCTTTCAAGTAGAAAGAGCTGCTCATTCTAAAAATCACAGTGCTTAGTTCCTGCCAAAGCTTCTAAATTCCGTAAATCTCCTCATCTTGGTACTTCCAAATTCAAAGGCTCCCCACACATACACAAACCTCCAAACACATATATGCCCAGAATAAAGCCTGGAAGGAAAAACATAAAATATTAACGGTAGATTTTTCTCTAAGTGGTAGAAATACAGCTGATTTTAATTTTCTTTTGGTTTGCTTTTTAATTTTCCAAATTCTCTACAATCAACATGTATTATTTTTATAACTAGAATAAATGTACTAAAAACAATAAATAAGCCTAATATTTGGAGAAAGAGAAAAAGTCACCAATATGTTTAAGCTTGTGCAATTACAGTGAGGCATCTATGATTAACTCACTCACTCAACATATATATCTTGAACACCTATGTGCCAAGCACTTTGTTGGGTACAAGCGTTGTTACAATGAATGAGACAAACATGGTTCCTGCCTTAATGGAACCTTTTTATCTTCTTTATTTTCCAAAGTTACTATGATATACGTATATTGCTTAAATGCTCTCCCTCCCTCCCTCCCTCCCTCCCTCCCTTCCTTCCTTCTTTTTCTTTCCTCTCTCTCCCCTTCTCATTCTTCTCTCTCTCTTTCTCTCTTGCTCATTCTGTCACCCAGGCTGGAGTGCAGTGGTGTAATCTCAACTCACTGCAACCTCTGCCTGCCAGGTTCAAGCACTTCTCCTGCCTCAGTCTCTTCAGTAGCTAGGATTACAGATATGCGCCACCACGCCTGGCTAATTTTTGTATTTTTAGTAGAGACAGGGTTTCACCATGTTGGCCAGGCTGGTTTTGAACTTCTGACCTCAAGCAATCCTCCTGCCTTGGCCTCCCAAAGTGCTGATATTACAGGCATGAGACACCGCACCCAGCCTTAAATGCTTTCTCTAATTTGAAATTTAAAAACATTGAACTGCCCAGGTACGACAGCTCACATCTATAATCCCAGTACTTTGGCAGCTCAAGCAGGTGCATCCCTTGAGGCCAGGAGTTCTAAATCAGCCTGGGCAATATAGCAAGACCTCGTCTCTAGTTAAGAAAAAAAAATAAAATAGTCTGAGTGTGGTGGTTCAGGCCTGTAATCCCAGCACTTTGGGAGGCCAAGGCGAGCAGGGAGGCTAGGCGTTGAAGACCAGCCTGGCCAACATGGTGAAACCCTGTCTCTACTAAGAATATAAAAAAAAAAAAAAAAAAAAAAAATTATCTGGGCTGGGTGCAGTGGCTCACGCCTGTAATCCCAGCACTTTGGGAGGCCAAGGCTGGCGGATTACAAGGTCAGGAGTTCGAGACCAGTTTGGCAAACATAGTAAAATCCCATCTGTACCAAAAAATACAAAAAATAAATACATAAATAAAAATGAACCAGCTGTAGTGGCATGCACCTATAGCCCCAGCTACTTAGGAGGCTGAGGTGGGAGGTTTGCTGAGCCCAGGAGTTCAAGGTTGCAGTGAGCTATGATCAAACCACTGCACTTCAGCCTGGGCAACACAGTGAAACCCTGCCTCAAAAGTAAATCAATCAATAAATAATAAAAATGAGATGCCAGATGAAAGGTGAGAAGTATTAGTTGGTGTGGTTTCTCGTTCCTAAAAGTCTTTTAAGAACAGGATCCTCTCCCATTTGAGGAAGAAGCTGAGTTGAGCATTGTTCCAAGGCTGGGGTAGTATCTTTGGAGCCACCTATGTACTACCCCATTGTTTCAAGGCTGGGGTAGTATCTTGGAGCCATATGTGGCTCCAAGACAAAAACATACAATTATAAACTTTTATATTTAAGAATGATTTTTAAAACTCTTTGCCCGCACGAGGTGGCCCATGCCTCTAATCCCAGCACTTTGGAGTACGAGGCGGGTGGATCACCTGAAGTCAGAAGTTTGAGACCAGCCTGACTAACATGGAGAAACCCCATCTCTACTAAAAATACAAAATTTGCCAGGCGTGGTGACATATGCCTGTAATTCTAGGTACTCAGGAAGCTGAGGCAGGAGAATCGCTTGAACCCGGGAGGCAGAGATTGTAGTGAGCCGAGATCACGCCATTGCACTCCAGCCTGGGCAACAAGAGTGAAACTCCATCTCAAAAATAAATAAATAAATAAAACTCCAGTGAGAATTATTGGCCAGTGGGAGGTCAGGACACATCAGGATTCAGGATTCAGTATTCCTCCCTATTAAAGCTATAGCCTCAGGCAAGCTCAGAAGGAACTTTGGGGAGGCAGCAAGGGAGAGGAAACGGAATTGGTTTAAACTTGGACAACATGGCAAAACTCCTTCTCTACAAAAAATACAAAAATTAGCCATGTGTGTTGGCACAAGCCTGTAGTCCCAGATTCTTGGGGGGGCTGACGCAGGAGGATCACTTGCCACCAGGGAGGTTCAGGCTGCAGTGAACCAAGATAGTACAACTGCGTTCCAGCCTGGGTGACAAAGTGAGACTCTGTCTCAAATATATATTATACATTACTGTATATATATTTATATATGTATAAAATTATGTTTTATTGAGGTAACACATAACATAAAATTTACCATGCTCTCCCCTGCCTGCCCACCCATCCCCACCTCCTGTGGTCCAGATGCAGCTCTCAATCCCAGTGCTTTGTCCCTCCCCACCACCATCCTGCTGGACTTGTAATTCAAGCTGGCCAATCAGACCAACCATCCCCATGTCCACAGGGATTGTCTTAGGACTGGGTATGTAAGCCCAGTAGAACCAAAGACTTCTCTGAGACCCGATACAAGGAAACTGGGAGACAGGGGCTTCACTTCTAAGATCATATGCTGTAAGGACAGTGTAAGGTGGAGCTGCTTGCCATTTTCCCAGGCTAGTGGAGGAAGCCATCTGCAACAGGTAATAGCAAAGCTGATGCACAAAGGGAAGAAAATAAAGATGGAGGTGGGAGCCCTGGTGATAATCCTTTTTTTTTCTTTTGAGACGGAGTCTTGCTCTGTCACCCAGGCTGGAGTACAGTGGCACAATCTTGGCTCACTGCAACTCAGTCTTGGCTCACAGCCTCCCAGGCTCAAGCAATTCTTGTGCCTCAGCCTCCCAAGTAGCTGGGAGTACAGGTGTGTGCCACCACACCCAGCTAATTTTTGTATTTTTAGTAGAGACGGGGTTTCACCATGTTGGCCAGGATGGTCTTGAACTCTTGACCTCAAGTGATCCATCTGCCTTAGCCTCCCAAAGTGCTGGGATTACAGGCATGTGCCATTGGTGCCCGGCACCTGGTGATTCAATCTTTTAAGTTCCTGGATCCATTTGTGCCTGAAGTCCATCTCTAGACTTTTTAGTTATATGACTTATTAGCTTTTTTTGTTTTGTTTTGTTTTGTTTTTTTGTTAAGACAGAGTCTTGCTTTGTCATCCAGGCTGGAGTGCAGGAGCCCCATCACAGGTCACTGCAGCCTTGAACTCCTGGACTTAAGCAGTGCTCCCACCTCAGCCTCCCAAGTAGCTAGGACCATAGGTGTGTGCCACCAGGCCTGGCTAACTTATTTTTTTGTAGAGATGGGGTCTCACTGTGCTGCCCAAGCTGGTCTGAAATTCCTGGGCTCAAGTGATCCTCCCACCACAGCCTCCCAAAGTGCTGAGATTACAGGCATGAGCCACTGTGCCTGGCCTTATTAACTTTTTTTTTAAGCTAGCTTAAGTAGGGTTCTGTTGGGCTTTCGCCATGATGGTTTCTGTGTCCCACTCATGATGTCACAGCCCTTGGTGTGATAAAGCCTGAGAGTGTAATGTCAGACCCCAAAAGGGACCCAGCTCGCTGGTGGAGGCAGGAGTGGAAGGCAAGGATGACAGCTTCTAGGAAGCAGGATACCTGACAGAGTTTCACTCTTGTTGCCCAGGCTGGCATGCAATGGCGAGATTTTGGCTCATCCCAACCTCTGATTCCCAGGTTCAAGCGATTCTCCTGCCTCAGCCTCCCAAGTGTCTGGGATTACAGGCGCCCACCACCACGCCTGGCTAATTTTGTATTTTTAGTAGAGACAGTGTTTCTCCATGTTGATCAGGCGGGTCTCCAACTCCCTACCTCAGGTGATCCGCCAGCCTCAGCCTCCCCAAAGTGAGATTACAGGCATGAGCCATCGCGCCCGGCCAAGAAATTTTCAACCTATGACTCAGACATTAGGCTTACTTCATGGTGGCTGACATGGTCCTTCTCCCAGAATATAAGGGATAAATGACAGTAGCTCCCAGAGATCTAGACCTTTCTGACAGGACACGTTACTTGTCCCATGTGGGCAGCTGAGGCCAGACTTCAGGTGCGCATCTGAGGACCAAGA